TATATATATATATATATTACTGCCACTTCGAGATAAGCAAATCCTCGCCAGACGCTTCCAAATGGAAGCGATTTTGTGGAAAGTCAATAACGTCGATGTCCATAACACATAATTTCTAAAAATGAAAATAGTTAGTCATTTTGAAAAAGAGATATTTAAAAAAAAAAAATAGAAATATTTGGTACGCGCTGTAAGGAAAGCGTTATACGTGGCGAGAAAGCTAATACGTTATTCTAATCTCATTACGCGCGGATTGTAGAGTCTTCGTATTTTCACATTATATAGCGCTTTATTCTATCGTATTTTCGCGAGCCATTTCTCATCATCAGGAACTCAGATCCAGTTCCACGAAACGCGAGTCATCATTAAATCTAGCATATATGTTGAAATTATCATCGTGTAATGTATATGTATTATTTTATTTTGTAAAATTCAATTACTAAAAAAAATTATCTTAAAAAAATATCTTAAAAAAATTTATCATGAATATATTTTAATATGTAGTTAAATAATAATTAACTGTTTTTTTTAATTCATTTATCGAAGTTAAATTATCGAAAAATGGTTGCATATTTTTGAAAAAACTTAATAAATATTAAATTTAAAATTTTTGAATTAAATTCTAAAAATGAGATTCTAATTTCATTTTAATTGAACGATATTTACAATTTTAACAGAAATCTTTATCATATTCATTCGAAATTTTTAGTTTTCACAATTACAGTATGCTAAAATTTGATTAAATTATCTATTAAATTTGAACAATATTTGCGGTAATCAAACATAAAACTTGCCAATTAATAAAAATATTAATAATTGTCGTGAGAAATTTTATCTGAATTTAACGGTGAATTCGCGTTTTACAATCGGTAGAATTTCCAATCATCGATCGGGTTTCCTCTGTGCAGCTTGCTCCTTTTACGGAGAGAGCACGCAAAGGTACAAGATTATCATGTTATACACATTTAATGTAGTTAGTATTCGTGATTATATCATCGAACCACGAGTTAAGAGAGACAACTCTTTCTCGATGGAGGTTGTTGTATTGCATTCCGACCAAAGGGAAAATTCCCGTTTTCCTGCAGCGCGGTGAAACGAGACGGCCTAAAAGAAAGGTCGCGGCCATTTAATCCTTTTACTTCGTAGATAGGGAAAGGCAGAGCGAATTCGCGAGCCCCCGCCGTTTATGGCCCAGGGGCAGATATATATACGCAATATAATATATATATATGTGTGTGTGTGTGTGTGTGTGTGTGTATGTGTGCGTGTGCGCGCGTGTGCGTGCGTGCGTGTATGTGTGTGTGTGTGTGTGTGTGTGTGTGTGTCGGAGGAAAATTGAAAGTGAGAAAACATGGCGCATGTACATAGTCGCTTCTCTTCGGGGCCGTAAACGTATTAATGAACTACGATTTCTTTCCCGGTATATTTCTTTTTTTTTTACCTTTTTTGTTCATTTTTTAGAATTAATTGCTCTGTAGAAGCACGTAGATAGTAGTCA